TCAGTTTAGGAGGAACCTTCTCAATAGTTTTGTGCAAACGTGCTTCAACCAGAACGTTCGGCTAATCGTTGGCGTTGTCCAATCTCCGATCACCACCCTCACAATCTTTAGGGCTCTCGCTATTCTTACAAAAGCTTTTTGAACAATTGCTTCAGACCATATTTATTGCGAATCTCAGCCAAGTGCGTCTATAATATCTTGACCTGCTTCCCTCTCCATACTGGCCTGCTTTGAGCTAGAAAAAGGAAATCATGCAAATTTGCTCTTGGAGTATGCCGTATTCAAGGCTTCAAAAAATGTTAACTAAATGATAAGAACAAAGCTACCTAGCTGTTAGATAGAACAAGAAAAGCTCTTCAAAATGACATATAGCACGGTGGCAGCTTGCTTGAAGTCGAAACAAAATAAAGCGTTCAAATGAATAACCAAAAAGCGCAAAAACTTTCTTCTCGACCTAATTTGTACAAGTTTAGCTCCATATAAGTCGTTCAGGGGTTAGAGTTCTGTTGGTCAGGGTTATATTGAACCAAAAAGCTGTGCGAATACCGCGACAGCTCATTTTTTCTTATTTATTAAAATGTCCGTCAGAATATCGAAAATAAAATTTAGAGTGTTTAATACCAGAGATCCCCTTTGAGATATGCCATGAACTCCAACTCCATCCAGAACCTTAGAGAACTTTAGATGCCATTTGCCAAAGATGTGGAGGCACCAGCAGGTACAAACACTGGTATTTTATCTCAAACACAAATTCCACACTAAGTTACGACCCAAAGGGATTAAAGACTTCGTTGGTCTTTTGGCGAGATATAACCCAGGATTCAATCTCCAGGGCCACGCCTCAGCGACGCCATCCTCCTACATATTGGCGTCAACACCAGCGAAACAGGAACATCACAGAGATATTAGTCGTCATCACTACACAGTCCTCGTTGCGCTTTTAACCTTATTGCGACCGCCATTTGGTTAGCAATTATCGTTGAAGCGCAAACGCTTCCATCCAAATGCCCTTTCAACAAACCGCAATTATGGTAGCATCACCTAATTCGACACGTATGTGGGGAAGAGCTACCGTACTCGACACGACAGGTGGCTTGCGAACAATATTCCAAAGGATGACTGCGGCGCATATACAGGCGTATGAAACGACTAACAGCCGGCAATCGTGGATAGATTCACGGGGCTAGCCGAAATTGCCCGGTAAGGTGAGCCCATGAGAATCTTGTATCAGGGACAGTGCTTTGATAGAGCCTACATTTTCGCTTAGACAGAGTGCTAGGAAAGTGGTTCACCTACCGCGGAGCTTCCCTCCTTTGCATAAACTTAGGATTCCCGTAAGTGACGCGAACTATGTATTGGGTCGGTCGAATAGTTCGTGCTGTTTTGAGGGCTTGACTTGGAAGCATCACAGTTCTGTTGGTGTGAAAAAATAGATACATTCAGCACACCCTTCAACATTATTTTGACTTTTCTCAACCGTGTAGTACTACTTAAAGACAGTGATC